AGGTCACTTGATATTCTGCTAACAGCCTGAAGTAGAAAGACTCCATCACAGCCCAAATCGGTGTTCACAAAACGTGCGCACTCGGTCTCCTCGGTGTGGGACAATTGTTTCAACGCTTTCAAATATTGTCGAATAAAGTAGACACGACGAAATGGCACGCACACGTTGAACATCCATTGCAGTGTGTTCAGACTGGTCAGGCCAGCGATCAGGAGAAACCAGAACCAAAGGAATACGTAGACCTTCTCAATAAAGTAGTTCACTGGAAGAACACATTGCAATGTGTATCTGAAAGTGATAGAGAGATAGAGAGATAGATAGGAGGCCAAGGAAACAGAGGATAATAACTTAAAAATAGTCAGTGACTACTGCAGGTGAACAGTTAGACGTGATTGCTACTGTACTCGTGGACGATATTGGTATGAATGGTACATACACCCAGTATTATCAATATAAGTGTCGCCTTTGTTGTGGCCTACAACCGACTGGCACGTTTATCGCGCTAGCCTTTGGCCGGATCAGTTGATTGATCGATTAACTGATCAATTGACTCACAGAAACTGCCTATTCTCACTCACGCACGCACTCGCACCATGTAGGCTGACTCTAGTACACCATCTATAGGCTCCAATCAATCAGATATTCGTATTGAATCGTCCTCGATGATTGAGTCGTTGACTGTTGGAATGCCTGCTTGACGGTATACGGAAATTGTGTGACACTTGAGCCAGTTGTCAGCCTGCTTGCCTTCCTACGAGTTGCCCGCTCCTGCTTGCTCACCGGCCCATGGGCAGGCTACATGTGCGAACCTACAATCAATCTAATGCATAATTGACTGCTTACTTGTTTGCCTACTTAAACGGGACACTACAGTCTCAAACCTTGTTTATAACGTCACTTGTTTATTTCAAACTGTGTGCGTAGCGGGTGCAATCTTGAATTTAATTTTGAATCATTATCAGCAACAGAAATATTTATTCGGTTTTATATTTACACATCGAAAAATAACTCCCCTTTCGAAGTGATTATTTTGCTCACTTGTGCACGCGAAGGTTGTCCGCGATCAGATTGATCCGGATTATATAATACAGTAAAATAACGTTTTTTAATTAAAGACAACAAGAACTGCTCAAAAACGGTTTCAATCTTCTATTCACGGACAGTGTTCAGGGAGCCCCTGTTTGATTTCTTTGTGCCTTTTCTCTGACCATTCTGTCCCAAACTGATTGCAGCCACGTGCTCACACACACACACACACACACACTCCCACACACACATCAAAGTGCCCTCACATATGTTCTGCTCTCATAAT